CTTCCACCCTATCTAAAAATAATTGGAAAAATATCCCCAGGTGAGGATTAACAACAACAACAAAAATGTTTATTAGTCATTTAGATTTCCTTTTAGGTGAAGTACTTATTCTTTTGCCAGTTTTTATGTAGAGTTACATCTTTCTTATAGATATGTAAGAGTTCTTTATATATTCTGGATACGAGTCCTTTGTTAGACATACATATTACAGAGATCTTCATCTACGTGGCCTCATTCTTTGCTGCTGTAGTGGACATTGGATTTTTACTGCCAGGTTAATGGAACTGCTCAATTGCTGCTTATAAAATGTGGGGGAGAGGGACTGAACTACTTGATCAATGTTGGGGTTGGTTCCTCCATTGGGGAAGATGAATTGGACACTGGTAAAGTGTACCTTATTGGGTTCCTGTCAAGAGCCTATCTCCTCCCGAACAGTTTGGAGATTGACCTTTTTCTTTCTTGCGTTTCAGGTCGTGGATTCACAGACAAAGTAGATCGACTAAAACTTGCAGAAATTGTGAAGCAAGTGATAGAAGAGCAAACCATGTCCCATGAATCCCAATGATGACAGCTTCAGACTTTTTTTTACAATTTGAAAAACTATTCCTTAATGTATAATGTAATTTTTATGTAAATTAATAAATCATAATTTCATTTTCACATTGCTTAAAGATGCTGTATAGATTTAGATATGATATTTACTAATAGTATAGTTCATTTGTTTGTTTTTAAGAAAAGCTCAGTTCCTAGAGATATACTATTACTTTAAGACTGTTTAGTCATGTTTATAAGATAACAGATATTATTAAGCAAGATTGTTTTATTTGTAATAAAGTATATAAAAACCACTTGTTAGTAGTAGACAAAGGACCAACTATACCAACCTTTTTGCTTAGTAAACAGTTGAATCAAATATTGTGCAATTTGGTTTCAGTTGCCCTGTGTATTTACTTTCTGCACTACTGGTAGATTAGCTCTGATGCCACGAAATGTTTGTGGACCCATGTTGCAGACTGCCTGCTGAAACTCACAAGGCACCAGCTCTCATGATGGAAGAGGCAGGGAGCTGAGCCTTCATTTCTGTTGTTCTTAATTACCAAGAGAAAAGGGGTAACACTTTTTTTTTTTGGTCATATTTTTTTTTTAGTCATAAAAGGTATTGGTGTGGTTCTTTTTTTGTTGTTAATCCTCACCCGAGGACATTTTTTCTATTGGTCTTTAGAGAGAGTGGAAGGGAGGGAGGGGGAGAGAGAGAGAGAGAGAAACATCGATTGGTTGCCTCCTGCACGTGCCCTGACCAGGGCTGGGGATCAATCTTGCAACCCAGGTACATGCCCTTGACCCCAAACAACCCATGACCCTTCAGTGCGTGGGCTGACATTTCATCATTGAGCCACACCAACCAGGGCCAAAGATATCGGTGTGATTCTTCAATCTAATGGATTCTTTTTTGAGTTTATTCTTTTCATGTTTAATCAAAGTTTCGGTTTCCCTTCCCCTGAGATCCTACTTTGTCCTGTCTTCTTCCTGGAAGCCCTCACTGGCTCCATTGCTTATTTCCCTGTTCTTATGGGATGATTTTTAATATGGGCCCCTCTTATGGGCCTTCTTATGGGATGATTTTTCTGAGAAAGTTACTTTCACGAAAAGTGCACTATTGGATTAGCATCTAAGATGGTCCAGTTTTTTGTTTTGTTTTTTTTCTTAAACCTGCCCTTTCTCTAATGTTTTTGCCTATATTTCATGTTGGCATCCTCTGGGCTGCATTTATTTTGTTCTGTCACCTTCATTTTCAGGGAGCATGCTCTGGCTGAGTTCAGCTGTTTGAATGGAAGAGGGCTGGATGCTTTTCTGTTTTTTGTTGTGCAAATGGACTTTCATAACAAACCATATGTATTCAATTTATTTTGTTAGCAGTTTAGCTGTGTTGGTAAATGGAAGAGCTACTAGGCAAACTACAATTCACAGAGCAGAGGAAGAGGATAAGTAGGTTCAGGTATTCAGTTTTATTCCATCATATTCTCTTCAAAATCAATTCCACAGAGCTAACTTATTTTCTAACTCCTCCACTTGGCTGAGTATGTCATCAAGGTGACATTTAGTTAGTATGCCAGATATGTGTATGTTAGTATGGAAATACAATAATATAAAATATCTTTAAGAACTGCTTTTTTACATTGTTTCCCTTTTATCTTGGAGAATTTGTAATTCAGGTATTTTTTGAGGTAAAACTCACTAATGTTAGGTAAATGTATACCCTGTAAGGAGCATTCAATACTTTTTAAACATGGCACAATTTAAGAGTTATTAGGCATCAGAGAAAAATGTTTTCTTAGCTAAAAGTTGGATTAAGGGTTGAATTATATTCTATTTTTTAGTGAAATGCAGTCTTACAGATCATTTTTTGCAATCAGGAAAAACTGCACTTGTTCTAGAGTAACTGACCACCTGTTGTTTTTCTTCTTAGGGCACATGTTCAGTATTCACTAAGGATAGAAGGCAGTGGTTAACTTCATAGTCTTCTTTTTCTTCAGATTAACGTTCTAGCATGCCCAGTCTACCATTAACTTCTCAAATGTGTTGTTTGGGTGTCTTCTAATGGCTCAGGATGATTTTTTTCCCTTTAATGTGTGGTGAATTTTAGGCATGATCTTAAAGGTATCCAAAATGATGCTCCTGTTTACTCTAAGCAGCAATTGCCTATGTAGCAGTTGTTTCAGGGTGAATTAATCTGGCCCCCAAAATGTGCAATCTCCAGATGAGCTGCAGGCTGGAAGTTTGTGAATACCGTGCAGGATGCGCCAGCTGTTGTAACTCAAAAGTGGGCCCTACCCTGGACAGAGCTCCTTGACAAAACAATAGTTCCCAAAGGACTTGGCACCGTTGGGTGTTCAAAGTGGAGTTTTCTCTGCGGAGTGAGTTTGTAGGCCAGTGGCAAGTACTGCCTTAACGTACAAGTCAGGTTCACTGATAAAGGAAAATTCACACGTAACTGGAAATGAGACAAAAATTGTTCTTGTCTCTTCTGGCCTCTCTAATGCCTAAACCTGCAGAAAGTTTGTATTGTAAGAACAGTTCTCGTAGGCAGGATGTGAAAGTCTCTAGTTTTACCATATGATTGCTAACCGCTCCTTACTAAAACTATTACTTATCACCCAGATACCGTTAGACATTACGTAGTTATAAATCTGCTTCATGTAAAACAACTTGTATATCTTTCTGGCTAACATAATGTATAAACATAAAATATCTGTCAGAAGTTTATTGTTTGAAACATAGGAGGAGCTTTTTTACAGAGTTTTGTTCTTATATTTATTTGAGAAAGAACAAGTGGAAGAAAGTATTGGTTTAAGAAAAAGTCAAATGATTTAAATTAGATCTGTGTGTGAATGCTTGTGTGTGTGTGTGTGTGTGTGTGTGTGTGTGTGTTATTTATTGAAGAAAATGTGTTTCAATTTGAGAACTGGAAAATTGGATATTTAATTTTAATTATATTTTTATTTAAAAAGTAGAACTTTTCTTTCATTATTGATTTAATTCTTTTATCCCACAAAATGACTTAACCTAATCTGCCCTGCCTGTTTTGGTTAAGACACCAGGAAACCCCTAAAATCTGATTAAGTTCTAAATTATATCATTTTAAGAGGATTTCCTCTTATATAACTACAAGAAAAAAAGAAATCCAGCTAGAAATCATTTCACCATTTTTGCTGTACATTTTAAAAATAGGTTTGTGATATGACAGTATAATTTTCTTGCTAGATATTAATGATAAATTTTATCTATGTTAAGAATTAAATATTAGGGATAGTTAATGAGTTCATCTGCTCTCATGCTCATATCTGAGATCTTGTGGTGTCATATAATTTCTTTCTGAATTAGGTTAGTTCCTCATTTTTTTAGTGTTCAACTTGTACTTTACCCTTATTTTATTATTGTAAATATTTAACTTAATATAAATTATTTTTATGCAAGATAAAAGATCTGAAGTCTTATTTAACTTCTTAGAATGCACTGGAAAATAACTGGGCAAGTGATGTGGATAGGGCTTTTCCACGTGTTTTTTCCTTTTAAATTTGTACTGCTGAATCCACCAGGAAATTGACTTGAAAACCAAATCTTAAGACTTCTACAGAGATAACAGTTCAATTTTAGTTACAAGAATGAAGAACTCTTTTAAAAGGTCTTATAGAGTTCACTTTCATTTCCTTGATGAAATGGTACTAGGTAGTTGTTTAATAATCAGCTTGTTTTTATGTTGGGATAATTGGGAAGAACTAAACTTTGATCCTAGTCACTTATAATACATCCGTGGTGAAACTGAGCTCATTTCATTTAATACTTAATATGTCTCTGTTAGGAAAACTTCTTAGAAGATAAAATTATGTTTATATTCAGATATAAAATATCTAAATTCATTATTGTGAACGAAAGGCTAATGAGTGAGAATTTATCTGCATATGATTTTTCTTAAAGGCAAAAAACAGATACTGACAATTAAGGGTTGTACTGAGAACCAGTACCCTGAATTACAATAGAAATGAGGAAAAGAGGTAGTGGGCAACAGCGAACTTTGTCCTGTTCATAGATCCCCAAAGAATCCTGGTCCCCTCCCCCCAACCTCCTGCCAGAATGTTGGGTTTCAAAGAATGAGCAGATTAACGGATATCGGGGAGTTCTGTGGCCTGGACTGAGGATGAAGATAATTTGCTAAGTACTGGTTGAGTCATTAACAGACCTTCTACTTGGTATATGTCTCTGTGAGGATTAAAAAACAGCCAAGGAGCATCAACACTATTGTTTGAACAATCATATAATAAGGAAACTACCGAAGATCAAGAGGGAAACAATATAAACAGCCTCAAAGTTCGTAAGACTCAGAGTTGGGGAGCAGTCACTTATAAGGGAGTCGAAATAGATCTGAGTCTCCAAGATTCAGCATCCCAAGGAAAGCCACTGCTGATGGGCACATGCCCTGCATCAACTGATTCACTAGGGCCATGTCAGTGGGCGCCTCCATGAGAGATACCGCCTCTGCACAGCCTTCTCTATGGGAAAAGCAAGTGGCCTTGAAAGAGGGTAAGATAAAGCTTCACACATGGGCTCAGCACAAGAGGAACTTCAAGCGGGGGCCAGTGCCAGGATCTACGTGTGTCAGGTTAGGAGTTGTGGTGCTGTTGGTGGTTTTTCTGCCATGTATGTATTGTGACCTGGGATCAGTATATTATACTTTCCATGAAATAATTATTCCCAAGCGGCTGACTGTCCAGGAAAGGGATGACCAAGTGAAAAATATATCCTACATGATATTTATACAGGGCCAGAAACAGCTGATCCACCTGAAGGTGGAGAGAGACTATTTTATCAATAACTTTCCAGTCTTCAGCTACCACGATGGCATCCTGGGACAAGAAATACCCTTAATCTCACATGACTGTCACTATGAAGGCTACATAGAAGGAGTCCCGGGTTCTTTTGTTTCTGTCAACACCTGTTCAGGCCTCAGGGGCATCCTGATCAAGGACGGAATCTCCTACGGCATCAAACCCATAGACTCTTCAGAACGGTTTGAACATGTGTTGTACACCATGGCACATCAAGCTCAAGTCTCCTGCAATGTCACTTCCAAAGACAGCCAAGTGGTGTCCACCAGCCAGCAACAAGGGAGCAGGAAGCCTCGCGGCCTACAGGTGCTGTCCTACTTGCAGTCACACACCAAGTACGTGGAGATGTTTGTCGTGGTCAACAAGCAGCGATTCCAAATGTGGGGCAGTAACGTCAATGAGACGGTCCACGGAGTAATGGACATCATTGCCCTGGCCAACAGCTTCACTAGGGAAATCAACACAGAGGTGGTGCTGGCTGGAATGGAGATTTGGACCGAGGGGGACCTCATAGAAGTCCCAGGGGACCTGCAAGTTACACTCAGGAATTTCAATAGCTGGAGACAAGAGAAGCTCCTCCATCGTGTGAAGCATGATGTTGCCCACATGATTGTTGGACAGCATCCTGAACGGGGTATGGGGCAGGCATTTCTCAATGGTGCCTGTTCAAGTGGTTTTGCAGCAGCTGTCGAATCCTTCCATCATGAAGATGTCCTCCTGTTTGCAGCGCTCATGGTCCACGAGCTTGGCCACAACTTGGGTATTCCGCACGACCACTCGGCCTGTATTTGTAAAGGTAAACACCTCTGCCTCATGTATGAAAACATCACTAAAGAAAGTGGCTTCAGCAACTGCAGCTCTGACTACTACTACCAGTTCCTCCAGGAGCACAGAGGGGCCTGCCTGTTTAACAACCCTCAGCACATAGGCCGCTTGCGTAGAGATTCCTACTGTGGAAATGGTGTGGTGGAGGGCGAGGAGCAGTGTGACTGTGGTTCTGCCTGTTACGGCAACCCGTGCTGTGACCAAACATGTAGCCTGAAGGAGAATGCAGTATGTAGTGATGGACTCTGCTGTTTGGGTTGCCAGCTGAGAAATAAGGGATTTATGTGCCGTTCTCCTTTGGGAGAATGTGACCTCCCAGAGTATTGTGATGGTACCTCTGGAGAGTGCCCTGCAGACAGCTATAAGCAAGATGGTACGTCGTGCGATAGAATTCACTATTGTGTTGGGGGTCGGTGTCGGAACCCTGATAATCAATGCATGGATATATATGGGTACACTGCACGGTCTGGCCCAGAAAACTGTTACATTTCAATAAACAGCAAAGGGGACCGGTTTGGACACTGTGGCTATCCCTCCTCAGCAATGTCAAGATATGTTAAGTGCTTTGATGATAATATATTTTGTGGGAAAATCATATGTACGAATATTAGACGGGTACCATCCATCAAACCCCATCACACACTGATCCAGATTCCTTATGAAGGTGACTTCTGCTGGAGCATAGGTGTCTATAACACTACCGACACCCCTGATGACGGGGATGTGCGCTCTGGCACTCCTTGTGCCCCAAACAAAGTCTGCATGAATTACTCCTGCCTTGATTATGCTGTGCTCAACTATGACTGCAAACCAACAGAAATGTGTCATGGGAGAGGAGTTTGTAACAATTTAAGGCACTGCCATTGTGAGGCTGGCTATGCACCCCCTGATTGCAGAACTCCAGGAAATGGGGGTAGTGTGGACAGTGGTCCCCCTGGCAAACCAATTGATGAATCTCTAAGTACAGATGAAATTGGCCAGCCTGTTATACGTAAGAGTGACTTTCCAAATCTTGGCGTTATATTGTTAATACTCCCTTCATTTCTTTTAATACTATTGCTATTATTAATATTTTGCATTAGTCTTAATGCTGGAATTGAGTCAGTGGAGACCCCAGGGGCCTCCACATCATTGAGTTCAGAGGAAACCACGGAAGTAGGGGTGAGGGGGTCACAAGTGGAAGAAGGGGAGATCATAGAGGGATTAGAGGCCCCCCCACTAGAGGGACTTATCCCACCAGAGGATGTCATCATACCAGACTGGGCCTTCCCACCAGAGGAGGCCATCATACCAGAGTGGGCCATGCCAACAGAGGGCCCACCAGCGGAGGAGGGCCCACCAGGGGAGCCGGCCCCACCAGGGGAACCAGCCCCACCACCGGAGGCGGCCCCACCACCGGAGGCGGCCCCACCACCAGAACCAGCCCCACCACCAGAACCAGCCCCACCACCAGAGCCTGCACCATAAGAGGTGGTAGCAGGTGAAGCACAGAAATAACCAAAAGTAGTGGAGGAAGAAGCCAAATAATATCAAGTACCTCAAGCACTGAATAGGAATGAGAGACTTCGAAAAGCAAAGATGAAGTGAGAATTGATGGCTCTACAGAAACACTAATGTGGGAAGAGAGAACTCCTGCTTTCAATATTTATTTTAGTTATTTGATTATATACTCAAATATGAAATCATATAAGAAATATTCTATATTTTTGCTTTTTCCCATTTCATGAAACTAAGTTTTTCTCATGGATCATTGCTATCACTGTCTTGTTTCATTTAGGCCACTTTTTGACCTGAAATTATTTTTCAGGCATACCACCTTCCATCTACATTGTTTGACATAATGTATTATCTGTACCTATATTACTGTCAGAGGATTATTCAACCCAGTGACAACAATGCATTATTTTAGGAACATTATCTATTGAGTACTCTTACTCGCCCTAACCGTTTCTATTCATGAAAGAGGTAATTTTAATGAATTAAATAAATATATAAATAAAAGGTTATTTTCAGATGAAGCATCACTTCAGACTCCATGCAGCCTTCTACTTGGGGTTTCTTTACTTTGAGCTTTCTGGAAGGGGTATATCTGACCCAGGGTGGTCTGAGCATCGCAGGTCTGGGACAAATGAGGCAGGTGCTGAGATCATATCTGAGGTATTTATTTTTTCCTTAAATTCTATATTGAAGTTGCTATTTTGTCTACTGACAGCTCATAGGAACATTTCCAATACAGGTAAGAATACTTTCATGAGGCAGTTATTTGGTAAGAGAACACAAAGTACATGCAATAATATTACCCATTCTGTGCAAGACACTGTGCTAAATACACACTATACATTTGTTGTCTTGATTTAATCCTCTCACTCACCTTAAGAGACCTTCATCTTGTACATGAGGAGACAGAAACCGAAGAGTTTTGCTCTAGAGCTAGTAAGGGGTGGAAGCTGCATCCTGCCCCAGGTATGACTGAATATACATTCTCCACTGCCTCATGAGCCTTCTCCTTCAGTTAAAAAAAAAAAAAGTGAGTGGGGAGACGTTTGGTATGTTCTTGCTTGCCCAGAACATGGCTTCTTCCTTGGTGACTAATGAAACAAAAGCCACACTGTGTAGTCATTACTGGTGAAAGTATCTTTTTTCCCATCACATTCTGAAATCATGGAGTGGCAGGTTTGTATCTCGTTCAGCTCTGAGAACCCAGCTGATTGTAAGTGCTCAGGAAATGTTGACCAAGTGAAGGATTTAACCAAAGCCAACCTTAAGATAGGAAAGTAACCTTTATAAATGTCACTTGCTAGAACCCAGGCATGGCACAACCAAAACCTTGCTCAAGTGCAGTGTTGCTCTAGGTTGAGTCTTAGGGAAGTTCCTGAACATCTGTCCCTGATGATCCATGTGCTGAGTCCCTCTTCTAACTGCCCACCCTATATGAGCAGAAAAGAGCAAACAAAATAAGACCTGGTTTCTCCTTTCAAGAAGCTTGTGTTAATTACTTTTGGTGGAACAAAACTAAATTTTAGAGCAAAATTCAAAATCAAGCCTTCAAGCCTTCAGTTATAATTTTCCAAGTCATGAGAACTGCTGGTAACCAAATCTCAGAATGTATGCCAGAGATCAAGATTTGTGGGGAAAACACACTACTGGTTGTCACCTGAGAGCTTTGAGAACAAGGGTAAACTGGGTAACTGAGGGCCTCCAAATGTAGACTTATCATTAGAGACTTGGAAAAATGTGGAGGATTTCTGCTGAGAAGCACTTCAGTGGAGAACAAAAGGGGTTACTTTTCTGACTACATGCACATGCTGATGATGACTATACTAAAAACTAATATTACATATTTTCAAAACTTGACACATATAAGGAAATTATGATTTAGGTACTGGGTAATCATGCTTAGCTCATTTAATAGCATTTTTTTAAAAAATCCTCATCCAAGGACTTTTCTTTTTGCATTTATCTTCTGATAGAGCAGGAGGGAGAGAAGGAGGAAGAGAGAGAGAAACATCGATGTGAGAGAGACACATCGACTGGTTGCCACCCACACAATCCTAACTGGGGCCGGGGACAAACTGCAACCAAGGTATGTGCCCTTAGCGGGAACCGAACCTGGGTGTCTCTGGTCCGAGGGCTGATGCTCTAACCACTAAGCAAAAACGGCCAGGGCTCTAAATGGCATTTTTTTAAGGACCAAAAGTTAGGTAGATGATTGGGAATCAATCAATAAAGCCTATATTTAGGATTTCACAATATTTGACAACAAAACTCACAAAACTTTAGCAACTATGTAAGTTGTATAGACTTTAATTCTTCACTGCTGTCCTTATGATTGACCCTTAGGTGTACAAGACCAGTCTAAAAGGAGGAAACAGCTCTTAGAATGAATATCCTTTGAAACAGTGACGACATTAGACATACTTATACATTGTAAGGTGAATCTTAAAATGTGTGAAATCTCCGAACTCCAGGGATCAACAGTTGAAGTTCTTTAGGATAGACTATAGCAGGGAAGTGACCAATTTTTAAGTGGGCAGGGGAGAGAAGGTAGGATACTTGAGTCTGAAAGCTCCAGGTTCACAGTTCAGTGTTCTGCATTATGTGTAACTGCCTCTATGCAGTGCAACTCTTTCGTCTGATTACTCTCCCCATTATGTCTGGGGGATTCAGAGGGATACTTGATTACAGGTTCCAATAATCTATGTTGGTGATCTCTCATGACCCAGCCAGCTGCTGCCCCAGGAGATTCTGACAGTAACTGATTACCATCCTTTACCTGCCTTCCGTGGGTGGCTACTGTCTTCTCTGTGCTCCTTCAGGCCAGTGAAGACCCAGGCCCTTCCTTGATCCGCCAAAGCATAGCCAAGTCCAGGCTCTAGACTTTTATCTAGACTTGAGGGAAACAAAAGAAAATTACAGTGTGGAAAAGAACAGATTTGATGTTGCCAGTGTTGTTCCTGAAGTGCAGAGGTCATGACCCTCCCTGGCAGATTTAGACAGGTCCTCTTTCTTTGAATGTCCCCAGCCTGACACCTTGCCTTGTCCATGTAGGACTGCTTTTAGCAAAGTGCTCATAACTTGCAGTCCAATTCCACTCTCTGAGGCTCAGTGCAAGGAAAATGAAAGATTTAGGTTAAACACAGATGACATTATCAACTTCACAGGGATCTTAAAGTTTTACATGATAAAGTTGCAAATTTTTTGAAAATTAAAAAATTTTTAAACTCCTTGTGTTTATGAACTTAATTTCAGAAAAGAATTTTGGCATCTACATTGGGCAAATATGCTTACTGACATGTTTTCTCAAAAGCAAGAGCAGGTTTCCGACAAGAAAGTTGGCAAAATGCTGACTCTTCAAAATTAATACCACACCCTTGCTTCTAGACATTAAGCTTTACTTTTTTAAAAAAATATTTTAAAAATGATTTTTAGAGGAAGAGAGAAACATCAATGTGAAACAATGAGAAACATTGATCAGCTGCCTCCTGTATGCCCCCTAATAGGGATCAAACCCCCAAGCCAGTCATGTGCTCTGACCAGGAATTGATCCAGTAACCATGGGACAATGTTCAACCAACTGAGCCACAATGGCCAGGGCAAGCTTTACATTTTTTGAACTATTTAAGAATTTAAAAAAGATCCAATACCACTTTTGTAATTTAATAAAATTATGGAAGGTCTTGCATGAGGTTATGCCCAAAGGAAATACATGAGGATATGAAGTTCTAGAATGAATATGTAAACAAAGCCATGCTGGCTCTCTTCTCACAGTTAAAAAACAGTTTTCCATTATTTATTATTAAAAAAAATTTTTTAATCCTCACCCAAGGATATTTTTCCATTTTTGTTCACATAGAGTGGGAGGGAGAGAGAAAAGAGAGAGAGAGAAAGAGAGAAACATCAACGTGAGAGGGACACATCAAGTGGTTGCCTCCCACATGACCCCAATCAGGTACACGCCCTTGACCAGAATCAAACCCGTGACTCATTGGTCTGTGGGCTGATGCTCTACCGCTGAGCCAGACTGGCCGGGGCAAATATTTTTTTATTGATTTTTTTTCTTTTCTTTTTCTTTTTAGAGAGAGAGGACCGGAGAGAGATAGAAACATAAATGTAAAGAGAAACATCCATCGGCTACCTCCTGCTGCGGATCCAGCCCACAACCTGGGCAAGTGCCCTGTCCAGGAATCGAACCTGGACTTCTCAACCTCTAGTCCATGGGACAGTGCTCAATCCACTAAGCCACAATGGATGGGCATTTATAAAATTATTTAAAAAGAGAACATCAGCCCTGGCCGATTTGGCTCAGCGGTTAGAGTGTCGGCCCGCAGACCAATGAGTTGCGGGTTCAATTCTGGTCAAGGGCACATACCTCGGTTGCAGTTCAGTCCCCGGCCCTGGTTGGGGTCGTGCAGGAGACAACCAGTAGATGTGTGTCTTTCACATCGATGTTTCTCTCCCTCTCCCTCCGTCCCTCCCAATCTATCTGAAAATAAATAGAAAAAAAAAAAATGTGCTCAGTGAGGATTTAAAAGAGAGAGAGAGAGAACATCAGACTGACCTCATGTGTTTGCAACCTCATGCCTGTTCCATTGCTATAATCTAACTGGATTCTCTAACGTCCTTACTAAGATACACCAGACACTGATTTCGTCCCCACAGTCTGGAGTCCAGGAACTTCTATTGCGCCCCGCATTACCTAGAGTAGACAGTATAAACTTGGAGTGGCATTAAAATACTGGGACAATGGTGGTCCTATCCTTTTCAACCGTTGTCTCCTATGACTTTTGAAAACGAGCATTGCCTAATATCAGTATGTCTAATAGGGAGAACCTCTGTCCTCATTATATACCATGGCCAATTCTGACTCTAGGCTCATGATCATAGTCTTGTTTCCACTGAATGACCTTACTCTTCCATATGCCTGTCTAGTTCAACTTTCACAGCTCCAGTGAGGCTCTTGAAACTGC